TTTTGTAGCTTTAGTAGAGACGGGGTTTCACCATGTTGACCAGGATGGTCTTGATCTCTTGACCTTGTGATCCGCCCGCCTCGGCCTCCCAAAGTGCTGGGATTACAGGCTTGAGCCACCGCGCCCGGCAACATCCAGCTAATTTAAACATTTTTTAAAATTAGGAGTCTTGAACTCCTGGGCTCAAGAGATCCTCCCACCTCAGCCTCCCAAAGTGTTGGGATTACAGGTGTGAGCCATTCACACCCGGCCCCTTTTTTGATCATTGATTTCTTCTTGCGATGTGCACCATTCCTGGTCCTGCTGTTTGAATGGTACAGAACCTCTGCCCGCTGGATAAATGCCACATCCTCAATTTTTTGTATTTTTAGTGGAGACAGGGTTTTGACATGTTGGCCAGGCTGGTCTCAAACTCCTGACCTCAGGTGATCCACCCACCTCTGCCTCCACCTCCCAAGTGCTGGGATTACAGGTGTGAGCCACTGTGTCTGGCCACCTCTCTCAATCTTTTTTTTTTTTTGAGACAGAGTCTCACTCTGTTACCAGGTGCCAGGCTGGAGTGCAGTGGCACAATTTCAGCTCACTGCAACCTCCGTCTCCCAGGTTCAAGCAATTCTCCTGCCTCAGCCTCCCAAGTAGCTGGGACTGCAGGCGTACACCACCACGCCCAGCTAATTTTTGTATTTTTAGTAGAGACGAGGTTTCATCATGTTGGCCAGCATGGTCTCGATCTCTTGACCTCGTGATCCGCCCGCCTCCGCCTCCGCCTCCCAAAGTGCTGGGATTACAGGCATGAGCCACCGTGCCCGGCCACCTCTCTCAATCTTAATCCTGTCCCAGTGACCTCGTTCCTGTTTCAGAACATCTTCTTCCCCGCATGGTACCAAGCAGTCCACCTCGCCTGCAGCTCTGAAGGACGGCTTTGCCTACTCCCACTCTGCCGCTCAAGTGGAACCAAAGCTGGGCTCAGAATCTGTAGGGAGTGAGGCCCCACCAAGGGAAATGACACCCACAGCCCGAGTGCCAGGTAGAGTCCTGCCACTAAGATGCCTGCCTTTCTCCCACCCTCAAAGAGGTATCAAGGGAAGAATGACAACCTTGGAGAGACAGCTTCTATTTCTTCCTGTGGCTTTTGCTTTAGAACCTAACAGCTGTGGCTTGCCCAGGGCAGGCTGTTTTTTCTGAACCTGGGGCAGCAGGGATGGGATCCCCCAACCTCAATCTCTTATCTCTCTTCCGCAGCATCCTGACCATGGCCAGAGACTGAACACTCCCTATTTATGGTCTGGGTTCTCAGAGACAGGGTGAAAGGCCCATAGGCCAAAAAGCAAGGGAAGAGAGATGGGACAGGACCATGAAGAGAGCTATGTCAATGGGACAGCACCTGGGGACCAGTGCCTGGAGACTGACCCCCGCCTGCTCCCAGGGCCACAGGCCCACTGCTCCTGGGCCTGGCTGCACTGGTGCATCACTTACTTTTCTTCCCAAACTGTTTCTTTTTCTTCTTTGTGGCCTCTTTGGCCTTCAGAGGTGTGGCCGGTTCTGTTGTTGAAAGACAAGGGTGAAAGAGATGAGAAGAGGGTCCCTAGGAGGACACAGGGCGCAGGCGCATCCTGAGACCCTATCTACCCTCCCACATGGGACACCCTAAGACAGGTAGCCAAAGCTGGGCAATGAGGAGAGGGCGGGGCTGGGGGAAGGGCTGGAGAACAGCTGTCCCTTCTTCCCACCCTTGTCACCAGGGCTGCTCAGAGGGACCTGGGTAGTTCACCTGGATGCACAAGGGCACGAGCATATGACAGAGTGGGCAAGATGAAGGAAGGAGCTCTGCAGGCCAGAGGGAGAGGGAGACAGAGATGTCAGGAGCAGGGGCTGGGAGAAGGGGCTCGCTCTACTCAGAGTGGTCCAGAAGACATCTCATCTCATGCCAAAGAACTGAGATGGGCACGGGGCAGGTGAAGGAAGGAAAAAAGAGGAGGAAAGAAAATCAGAGCCTCTTAGGGCCACAAGAGCCCAGACCTGCAGCCACAGGAGGCTGGAGCTGGTAGCCGGTGAGCTCACACCAGCCGACGGGGTAGATGTCCGGGGACTCACAGTCCACCCACTGGTCATACTCGCTGTCCCAGCCATCAAAGTGGATACTGAGGAGCCGATGCACCACCCGTTTCACCGTCGCCACACAGATGAGCCGGGGCTCCATCAGGTCCACAGCCTCCAGCTTCATGCCCACCTTGAAGCCATGGTTTGGGCAATCCTGGGGCAGAAAGAGGAGGCAGTGGCCAAGCCAGTCAGCTCCCTGCCCCAGCAGGTTCACCCAGGCCCGGGGGCACTTGCAGAACTGGTGGAGAGGGGCCTGGCACTGGAATGCCTGCCGGGGCAGGTTCCTCTTTCCTGACATGACCCCTGCATGGAAGAGGGACGGGGGTGCCTAGGCCATAGCCGGGGACTTCCCCCTGAAAGTGGCTGATGTCAGCAGTAGAGACTCGAGAGGAAGGGTAGGAACTGCCACCACTGACAGCAGCAGGCAGGGCCTGTCCGCAGGCCCCTTGCTCCGTTTGTCTCCTCACCATGTTGAAGAGTCTTGATGGAGCGGCTTTTGACTTGGTCTTCTCCAAGTAGTTCTCCCAGTGGAAAGTCTGTGCCTCATAACCTGGAGCAGCAGAAAGCTCAGATGCAGAGGGAGAGAGGGGGAAGCAGGAAGCGGGCTGAGGGAAAGGTCACAGGGCTGAAGGAGCTCTGCAGCTTGGTCAGGACCCAGCGTGGCGTCTCCCCAGCAGCCACTTTCTCATCCCTTCAAGGCTGGTACCTGCTCTAGCACCACAGTCCTTGTTGTATAGGTTGTTCACTGCCCAAAGGGATAAGAGGGAGATCTGTTCATCAACCAGACACTGGCCATGGGGCAGGGTCGGCCCAGCAGTCAAGGGCTACACTTGAATGCTACACTTGTGGGGCCTGACTTGACCAGAACTCTGAGCCTGTGGCCACACCCTGCCCCTTCTGTTTTGTTTTGTTTTTGAGACAGAGTCTCGCTCTGCTGCCCAGGCTACAGTGATCTCAGCTGGGTTGCATGATCTCGGCTCACCGCAACCTCCACCTCCTGGGTTCAAGCGATTCTGCCTCAGCCTCCTAAGTGGCTGCGATGACAGGTGCTGGCCACCACGCCTGGCTAATTTTTTGTGTTTTTAGCAGAGACAGGGTTTAGCTATGTTGGCCAGGCTGGTCTTGAACTCCTGACCTCAGGCCATCTGCCTGCCTCGGCCTCTCAAAGTGCTGGGATTATAGACGTGAGCCATCGCGCTCGGCCACCCCGATGTTCTGATGGCAAGGCCAGCAGGGGGTGGCCTATCCAGTCTTACCTTTTGGGGGTGTGAGCTCAATGTCATTCTTCTGACAGAAGTTGGCTGGGAAGATGGCGTGGGAAGAGGCGTGGTAGCAGAACCAGTCTGAGCCATCTGTGGAGGGCCCCCCGTCCACACAGATCATCAGGTATCCATCCAGAAGAACCTGGGGGGCAGGGGAGTAGGCAGACAGATCATGTCATGAACTGCACCCCATCCTAGGTTGGGACCACACCCCAACAGGGACACAAGGCAGATGGATCCAAACAGATCTAGGGTATAGCCCTCCTGGAGGACGCCTGAGCCTCTCTGGAGCACATAGTATTTCTGTGATGCATACCTGTGGGATTCTTTCTCTTTCCCACTAGACAGCAAACACCATGCCAGCAGAGGCCATGTCCGTCCTGCTGGGCCGTGTTCTCAGGGGTGAGCACACATGCCTGGCATAGAGCCGATCCCCAGCGTGGACGAGTCAGCAGCCTCCTCCAAGAGGGCCAAGCGGGTGTAGAGGGCTTGCTCAGGCTGAGGTGACAAGGTTTAGAGCAAGGTGACCCCAGCTGTGGCTCAAAGGAGATGGCATACAGCAAGAAGGCCCTAGTGAGGTGACAGGGAAGGGCCTACCCTGACACAGGACCAGGCTCAGGTGTTCAGTAAGCACTTGTCCAGTGAGCCTTGGATCCTGACATGAAACCAGATTCTGAGCAATGGGTAGGTAAGGCCCCACCTACAAGTCAGGGACTTTGGGCATAGCCAGTGAAGAGAGGGTGGGACAGAAAGCTCCTGACAGTGGTAAGCAGGGTTAGAGCTCTGGGCCACATGGGTCCCCTAAGAAATCTGGAGGCTGAAAGGCCAGCCCCTGGCTCACCTTACAGACAGTTGCCACGCAGATGTTGCCCAGATTTAAGGGGTCAATAGCCTCCAGCTTCATCCCTTCCTCAAACCAACCACCTTCTGTGTAGACAGCGCGTACCTTAAAGGAATGGGACAGCTGGGGACTCCCTGGGCAGGCCAGGGGGAAGGGTGAGGGAAGCAGGCCTCAGGAAGAAAAGAGAGTCCCAGGGAAAAGCCAGGTCCCTGAGGCCTGGAATGCACCCATGGCCCAGGGGAAAAGCACCCAAGGGCTGAGCCTCACCTTCTTGAACAGGTAAGGAACAGCATCACAGTAGATTTTGCGAAAGGTGGGATGATGGGCCATGTCACTTCGCCTCTCTTTGGAGATGGAAAAAGAGAATGAGGAAGAGAAGGGAGTTGGAGGTGGCTCCCGGGCCATCTCCACACCTCTCCAGCTGCTCTGCGCATGCTCTTAGCTGTATATCTGTATCTCAGGACCCCCCACCCCAGAGCAGCAGACACAAAGGCTGAGTCCAGAAAACATCAAGAGCTCTCTGTAGGGACTCTTCAGCCCTTGAAACCCAGACTGCTTCCACATGACATGGGAGAGGATCGGGGCTGGGGGCATCTGGGTTCAAATCTTGATTTTACCGCTCACAAGTTGAGCTGAGTGACTTCTATCAAGTCGCTCAAGCTCTCTGGAGCTCAGTATCATCACCACAGGGTGGCCACGTTAGCCTTCACCTCCTGTGAGGACTAGGAAGGTGCTCCCCAACCCCTTCCCTGGGGAAGCATAGCCTGCAGTCCCTCCAAACAGGGTCTCTGCTAACCTGACATCTTGATGCCATGGCCCACACGTCGTGACCAACCCACTGGGTGGATCAGGGGGCTCCACATGTGGCACCAGAAGTCGTCGTCATTGTCGCCATCCTCGTAGAGGAGCCGTAGGCGACCGCCGATGACCGTGTCCACCACAGCCATGCGAGTTCGTGACACCTGGGACTTGTCCACCACCTCCAGCCGCATGCCCTGCCTAAAGGGGTACTTCATGCTCTCCACCATCTGAAACAACGCCAGAACACAGGCCTGCTGTGGCCGAGGGCTCCTTCAACCCACCGGCGTGCTCTGTCTCTTCATGGTGAGTGGACAGGGAAGGCGTGGTGTTATCCTCCACACTCAGTCACGAGCTGGCAGATGAGACCACCTGTTTGGCCGTGGTCACCTTGGCCCTGACTCCATAGGAGGACACAGAAGGCAGGCACACAGCTGACAATGGGTATGACGCTTCTTACCACCAAAATGCCAATGAGTTGATGCAAATCCCAAAACACACTTTAAGGAAACTCAAGTGACCCAGAGAGGTCAAGCATCTTGCCCAGAGTTACATAGACTCATTAGTGCCCGAGCTGGGCCTGGAAGCTGGTGAGCAGCCCATGCTCTTCATGGGCACTGCCCTCTACCCTGCACTCCCTGCCACCTCCCAGCCCTCTGCCATGGCACATACAGACTCACATCCAGAGAACTCAGTCTCCCTGTGTCCCCTTATATCCAGTTCCAACTCTGACCCTGATGGGCTGTGGATCTGCGGTGCTTTCACAGTGCCCTGATGGCAACTGACCTAATACGGGAGGTTAACCAAGATGACCACGAGCTGCTCTACAGCAAGCCACAGTGTTGGCAAGGTACAGGGGAGGACGTTCTTTTTGTCCACTGTGATTTCACTGCTGTCCTGCCTGGGGCAGTGAACAGGTAGGGTGCAGCGCTTTCCCAGCCCCAGGGCACTGCTGGGTCAGGAAGAACCCGCCTAGACCAGACTAAGCAGTGCTATTTCTAAACACCAGGAAGGAAACTGTCTCGGAGGTCACAAAGCAGCCAACAGACAAAGCTGACACAGGGGTCCTAAACCAGACAGATCTCTGTCCCAGCTCAAGAGCTGGGATACGTCCTGACACCAACTTCCTGTTCCACATCCAGTATCCCAGCAGTTCACTCAGTAGAGTGACAGATAGCACAGGATAAGGCCTGGCTTGGGGACCCTCTGGGCTGCCTTCTCTGCCACGTTCTCTTCCTCTATAGCCGCCAACACAGTGCAGCTCACAATCCAATCCCATTTTTGTTTGGTTATTATTGTTACTTTTTCTTGAGACTCTTGTTGCCCGGGCTGGAGTGCAATGATGTGATCTCAGCTCACCTCAAACCTCTGCCTCCCAAGTTCAGCAATTCTCCTGCCTCAGCCTCCTGAGTAGCTGAGATTACAGGCGCATGCCACCACGCCTGGCTAATCTTTTTTTATTTTTTTATTATTTTTATTATTTTATTTTATTTTTTTGAGACGGAGTTTCGCTCTTGTTGCCCAGGCTGGAGTGCAATGGCGCGATCTCGGCTCACCGCAACCTCCGCCTCCTGGGTTCAGGCAATTCTCCTGCCTCAGCCTGCTGAGTAGCTGGGATTACAGGCACGCGCCACTATGCCCAGCTGATTTTTCGTATTTTTAGTAGAGATGGGGTTTCACTATGTTGACCAGGATGGTCTCGATCTCTTGACCTCGTGATCCACCCGCCTCGGCCTCCCAAAGTGCTGGGATTACAGGCGTGAGCCACCGCACCCGGCAGACCCCATCTCTTAAAAAAAAAAAAAAAAAGATAAAAATAGTGATATATATATATATATATATATATATATACACACACACACACACACACACACACACACACAAATTAGCCTAGCATTGTGGCGTGCACCTGTAATCCCAGCTACTCGGGAGGCTGAGGCAGGAGAATCACTTGAACTCAGGAGGCAGAGGTTGCAGTGAGTCAAGATTATACCACTGCACCCCAGCCTGGGCAACAGAGTGAGACTCTGTCTCAAAAAAAGAAAAAAAGTATGTAATAAAATCTATGGAGTGAACATTTCTGAAAAATTCTATGAGCAAAGGTAAGGATCAGGAAGAGCAAAAGGCAGACAAAGCGGCATGACTGGTGTGGTAGGAGCAGAGTCTGGGTGGGGTGGTGGCTGACACCAGGCTAGAAAGGCAGATGGCAACCATGGGGCAGCAGCATTTGTCTCCAGCCCTGCAAAATGTGGAGCTGCTGAAGATCATCAGGCAAGGGAATCTTAGATAACATCCTCCAGTGAGTAGCATGGAGGATGGAGAAAAATGGAAGAGCGGAGGGGGACATCAGTTAAGGGCTCACTGCTGACCTTGATGTGGAAATCCACAGGAAGCGTCCTGGAGCCCACCAGCCGTTTCATGAGATAGCCCTTCCAGTCGGTGAACTTGGCATGGATGGCTGTGGAGGCACCAGCAGAATCCTGGTTACACAGACTGACAACACCCTCACCTCTAGGGGTGCTAGCGCCCACCCAGAGTGAGGACCCCTCAGCAGTGGGGACATCGCTGCCTCTTCAGGCCAGCAATTACTTCATCTGAGAACCTCAGACTCCACAGCTGGATCTGCTCCTGGGCCTCTGGGACAGGAAGGGCAGGAAGCCAGGGGCAAGTGGGTTGTGTTCTGTCTAATAATGCAGAGGACTCTCATTCTACCTAACACAAGCAGAGGACTCTCCCTCTACCAGGGGCCCTGCAGGAGTAAGAAAGGAAATGTTCTCATCAGCTCACTCCGTGGGGGCACGAGGATCTTGCTGTTGATGGCACACCAGCCAATGGGGTGGACATCTACAGTCCCCAGGTTGCACCAGAAGTCATGGCTGGCGTCGCTTTCAAAGCCTTCATACCGAAGCAGCACCCGATACCCTAAAGGAAAGGAAAGGGCACCTGTGAGGGAGGGTGACCTGGGAAGGTATGTTCTTAGGCCTTCTCTTTTCTCTAGCCTAAGCTGGATTTCTGGCACCTATTCTTCCAGGTGAGTGGATTTCTGTTGGCCACAACAGGCCTAGCCAAACAAATCCATGACCCTAGTTAGGGAAGCGTTATGGCACAGTGCTGAGAGTTAATTTTCTATACACTGATCATCCCTGGAATGAATTTTACTTTTTAAAAATATTTTCATTTTCTGTAGAGACAGAGTCTCACTCTGTTGCCCAGGCTGGTCTCAAACTCCTGAGCTCAAGCAATCCTCCTGCCTTGGCCTCCCGAAGTGCTGGGATCATAGGTATGAGCCACTACATCTGGCCCTGGAACAAACTTTAAAAATTGAGGTTTCTGGCCAGGCGCAGTGGCTCACGCCTGTACTCCCAACACTGTGGGAGGCTGAGGCAGGCAGATCACCTGAGGTCAGGAGTTCAAGACCAGCCTGGCCAACGTGATGAAACCCTGTCTCTAATAAAAATACATGGCCGGGCGCGGTGGCTCAAGCCTGTAATCCCAGCACTTTGGGAGGCCGAGGCGGGTGGATCACGAGGTCAAGAGATCGAGACCATCCTGGTCAACATGGTGAAACCCCGTCTCTACTAAAAATACAAAAAATTAGCTGGGCATGGTGGCGCGTGCCTGTAATCCCAGCTACTCAGGAGGCTGAGGCAGGAGAATTGCCTGAACCCAGGAGGCGGAAGTTGCGGTGAGCCGAGATCGCGCCATTGCACTCCAGCCTGGGTAATAAGAGTGAAACTCCGTCTCAAAAAAAAAAAAAAAAAAAAATTAGCCAAGTGTGGTGGTGAGCGCCTGTAGTCCCAGCTACTTGGGAGGCTGAGGCAGGAGAATGGCCTGAACCCAGGAGGCCGAGGTGGTGAGCTGAGATCACGCCACTCTACTCCAGCCTGGGTGACAGAGCAAGACTCCTTCTCAAAACACAAAATTGGAGTTTCTAAGCCTGCTAAGCTCTGTGTTTCCGTCTCCAGCAGAAGAATCCCTAGAAGTGGGGCAGAAGTTCAGTGGGTGGGATTTTTCTTTTTTTCTTTTTTTTTTTTTTGAGACGGAGTTTCACTCACGTTACCCAGGCTGGAGTGCAATGGCGCGATCTCGGCTCACCGCAACCTCCGCCTCCTGGGTTCAGGCAATTCTCCTGCCTCAGCCTCCTGAGAGTAGCTGGGATTACAGGCACGTGTCACCATGCCCAGCTAATTTTTTGTATTTTTAGTAGAGATGGGGTTTCACCATGTTGACCAGGATGGTCTCGATCTCTTGACCTCGTGATCCACCCGCCTCGGCCTCCCAAAGTGCTGGGATTACAGGCTTGAGCCACCGCGCCCAGCCTGGGATTTTTCTTTTATTAGGCCAACTCCTGCCTATGACACTGTCCACCCATCTAGAGATGTCAACTCTGCAGACACAGCCCTGGCCCTGCCCTAGCCAAACACCCACCTGCTGTCTGGATGACAGAGGCAATCCAGTACACCCGGCTGGGGAGCACGGCGTCACTGTTGAGCACCTCCACCTTCATCCCTTTCATCACATCCTCCCACTGGTCATAGAGGGGGACCTGTGTGGCAATGAGAGTTACCGAGAGTGAGAACTGGGCTAGCAGGACAGAGGCGGCCTCATGGCCTCAGTCAAGTCCTTCTTTGCACTTCAACTTTTTGGATCACCTACTGTGCGCAGAACTAGCCACTAGGGATAAAGAGATGAAGTCCCTGGCCGGGTGTGGTGGCTTACACCTATAATCCCAGCACTCTGGGAGGCTGAGATGGTCAGATCATGAGGTCAAGAAATCAAGACCATCCTAGCTAACATGGTGAAACCTGTCTCTACTAAAAATACAAAAATTAGCCGGGCGTGGTGGCACGCACCTATAGTCCCAGCTACTTGGGAGGATGAAGCAGGAGAATCGCTTGAACCCAGGAGGTGGAGACTACAGTGAGCTGAGATTGCGCCACTACATTCCCACCTGGTGACAGAGTGAGATCCCACCCAAAAAAAAAAAAAAAAAAGATTTAATCCTGTGTCCTTGAAGAGCTGAGCCAGGGAGTGGCGGTGGCAGGATGCAGGGTGATGGCTAGAGACACAGCCAGATAGAGTCGAGTCTTAATCTTTATAGGACTGGTCCTTACTGTATCATTTTGGGCACATGATGCATTGGTGAGCCTCGATCCCTTCATTCCTGTGATGCCTTGGGGGGCCTCAATCACTTCATCCCTGTGCCAGCCTGTGCAATGGTGGGGCACTGTTCTTAGCAGAAATATACTTTCTTTCAATCGTCATTCAAACCTGGGCGGTGAGCACTATGATCCCCTCATTTCCACACAGCTATCCACCTGCAAGTTTACTCTCTACCTCCCCTCCTATTAAAATACCCCAGGACAGCACTGGACTGTTTTCGTTGCCTTCTCAGTACCCAATCCTCACTTTCCTGCCAATGCTACTTCTGATTCTCCTTTGGGAAAATTCAGTTTTTTTTTTTTAGACGGAATCTCACTCCATCACCCAGCCTGGAGTGCGGTGGCGCAATCTCAGCTCACTACATCACCTGCCTCCCAGGTTCAAGCAATTATCCTGTCTCAGCCTCCCAAGTAGCTGGTATTACAGGTGCCCACTACCATTTCCAGCTAATTTTTGTATTTTTAGTATAGACAGCGTTTCACCATGTTGGCCAGGGTGGTCCTGAACTCTTACCTCAGGTGATCCACCTGCCTCAGCCTCCCAAAGTGCTGGGATTACAAGCGTGAGCCACTGCACTGGGCCAAATTCACCCTTTTTATTCTCAGCCCTGGCTTCAGCCCATCCCATTCCATCTCCCTGGTCATTAAGTTTAGTTCATCACAGAACCTGGACACAGCTGTGTTAGCCCAGGCACCCAGGGGCAGGCTTTTTACAAAGCAAACTGGATTCTATGTGTTAGACACAAGCAGGATGCCACTCCCCTGGAATGAAAATGCTGAGACTGTTAGAGAATTCAGGGCAAAAAAGAAGTCCCCCCAGGAAGAAGGATGTGCACCTTCATTAGCCATTCAGAGAGGAAAAGAATGAGTTAGCGGGGTCAAGAACCAGCTGCCATTGTTCAGGGCACCCCCAGAGTTCAATGGCAGTTCTGAAAGGAGGCTAGGATATGGGCTTACTCTGGGTAGAAGACTTCCTACTCCCTCAAGACTAAAGAGGCCTCTTCCTGGATTTCCTTAGGAAGGTGCTTCGGAGCTTAGGAAGGTGGTGTGGAGACAAATCAAGAGTGCTGCTAAGAGCTGCTCTCCTGGCCTGCAGGCTCCCACGTGCTACGGCTGCTGGAGATTCAGTTCCTGGGCTCAAGCCCCGCCCCCAGGGCCTTGCCCTTCATTCTGGATTTTCAATGATATGCATCAGGGAGGTTTTTACAGAAGCAGGCTCCAAGAGGTATCCATATCTGCCTCTCAGGGTCCAAGGGGCCCAGGCCAGTTAGAGAAGCACCATGCTTTCCATGGAAAAATGCTACAAATAGGGGAGAAAGGAGAGAAGGGTTTCAGAGTTGGAAAGACCCTTCGACATCAGCTAGCACCAAGTTCCATTATGTAAAGAAACTGAAGGACTTCAGACAGGAGGTGAAGGCAGGCAGGTGCTAGAAGTCTTCGTAGGAGGATTTTTTTTTAAGTGGACATAAACATGAAGTGGAGCAAGTGGGAACGCCATCTGTCTCCTGCCCAGACCTCCCCACTGCCAGTGTCCAGCCTGAAGCCGCCCTGGTGAAGCAGGTGAAGGAGCCAAATGGCCAGCGGCTCCATGCCTGGCTCCTGGCCTCCCCCACTCAGCTCCAGGGCACTCACGTGCTTGAAACAGCTGACAGGAGCAGCCTTGTAACTGTGATCCTTCAGGAACTTCCCCCAGTCGAAGCCCAGGACCAGCGCTGCAGAACAGAAAAAGAGGATGAGTCGAGACTGGGAGCCTGAGCAGCAGTCACGCCAGGAGCCTGGACCTCGAGGGCCCTGTGGGACCTGCAGAGGTAGGTCCCCCACTCCTAGCAGCCCCTCTCACAGCAATGACCACAACACCGTCCTGCACTCCCTTACCTGCTCCACCAGTCGCCATGGAGACCACAGCTGAGGACTGCATTGAAAGGTGGCAAGACTCTCAGGAGTAAAGGAACATTCAGAGGGAAATTTCTCACCCTTCTTCCCTCAAAGAGGAAAATTCAAATATCCCTGGGCTTAAATTCCTCACACTCCCTCAACCTCTGATTGGCCACACCCAATCTAAAGGAGGGGGAGGGTGTGCACACACCAGGGTCCCTCCAACTGAGCTGCTGGCCTGCTGAGCTCAATTTCACTTAGAAATGCAAACCAATGATATGCATACATTTAACTTGCTTAGCAATCGCTACACTCAGAAAAAAAAAAAGAGAAAGGCTCCATTCCTTATCCCACCATCCCTCTCCACACCGGCCTTCAAACCAGATCTGGGCCTCCACTGCCCCAGGGAAACAGAAACCACAGGGATAAAAGCAAAGGAAAACAAAAGCAGCTAATTCTTGGCTTCTGAATTATCATGGGGAGGGATCCCGGCAATTTAAGGAGGGTTGAAGGGATATTTCTGGGTAATTTCCACAATACCTAACAGCTGAGGAAGGTGCAATTCTGCCGTGAGTCTAGCTAGGGCACTTTCTACCTGGCGGGTTTCCCCAGTCTTCACTCTGAGGAAAGGCCACCCCAGGCCCGGCCCCCTCTTCAGCCATGGCAGCGTCCTAAGCACAGCCCTCGACTGTCTTACCGTCTTGTCCTGTTGGTGTCCCATCTGCCAGCTGTCCTGTCCCTTGGGAGTGGAGGAAGGCTCCAATTTTGGCAGACCAAGCGGCTTTGTGCAGGACTTTGGCTTTCTTGGTCGGTGGTTTTCCCTGGAGGGAAAGGGAGAGGCTATGTGTGGCCCAGCGGCTGGGACCATGGCTCCAGATTTGGACTGCCAGGTTGACGTCCCGGGCTTCGGTCAGTGACTTAACCTCTTTTGATTAGCTGGGCATGTGTGGCACCTGCCTGTAATCCCAGCTACTCCGGAGGCTGAGGCAGGAGAATCGCTCGAATCCAGGAGGCGGAGGTTGCAGTGAGCCAAGGCCACTGCACGCCAGCCTGGGTGACAGAGCAAGACTCCATCTCACAAAAAAAAAAAAAAAAAAAAAATTTTTTTGGCTGGGTGCAGTGGCTCATGCCTGTAATCCCTGCATTTTGGGAGCCCGAGGTGGGCGGATCACAAGGTCAGGAGTTTGAGACCAACCTGGCTAACATAATGAAACACTGTCTCTACTAAATAATTAGCTGGGCGTGTTGGTGGGCACCTATAATCCCAGCCACTTGGGAGGCTGAGGCAGGGGAATCACTTGAACCTGGGAGGCAGAGGTTGCAGTGAGCCAAGATTGTGCCACTGTACTCCAGCCCAGGTGACAGTGTGAGACTCTGTCTCAAAAAAAAAAAAAAGAAAGGAATTTTTTTAAAAATCAATTTTTCTGGCCGGGCGCGGTGGCTCAAGCCTGTAATCCCAGCACTTTGGGAGGCCGAGGCGGGTGGATCACGAGGTCAAGAGATCGAGACCATCCTGGTCAACATGGTGAAACCCCGTCTCTACTAAAAATACAAAACATTAGCTGGGCATGGTGGCGCGTGCCTGTAATCCCAGCGACTCAGGAGGCTGAGGCAGGAGAATTGCCTGAACCCAGGGGGCGGAGGTTACGGTGAGCCGAGATCGCGCCATTGCACTCCAGCCTGGGTAACGTGAGTGAAACTCCGTCTCAAAAAAAAAAAAAAAAAAAAAATCAATTTTTTAGGGTCATTGATTTGACTGAGAATGTCAAGCCCTTAGCAAGTACTCCCAAACTGTAGCTATTAATATTACCAATATTATTATTAGCTCTTTGAGGAGAGGGATCTTTCTGCCTTGACTAAAATTTACAAAATGGGGGAAACAACGGTAATTGTCTCACAAAGGCAATACAGTGTATGAAGCAGGAAGCAGAACGATCTGGCGCACAGCAATTCCCAATAAACACTGGTGGTTCTCAAGGTTTGCTGCACAGGAAGATCACCTGGGGCGCTCTTTAATCTCTGTCCAGGCTACACTCCATCCCAATTAAATCAGAACCTTGGGGAGTAGGACCGAAGCATCAGTATTTTTTAATTAAAACTTTCCAGGTGATCCCAACATGTGGGCTAATTTGGGAAGCAGTGTTGCGGATGCTGGTCACAGCTACCGGGAAACAACGTTAAGACCAGGCCCCTGAAGTCGGGTTCCAGCCTCAGTTCCACCACTCTCTTCCTACAGAGCCACACCAGGTATGTCATTCTACCTCCTTGGACTTCAGTATACTTATCAATAAATGCATGGGTTCAACACCACATTCAATAATCTTTCCATGTCTCAAAAATTGGCAAGACTTTCTAGGTAGCTGCCTGTGACATGGAGTCACATGAGGCACGGTCTTCCTGAAGTCACCATGGCCAGTGAACCTTAGGTCTGTTTCCCAGCTTTCTTTCAAAGGATTTACACACGTGTGGGGTGAAGACGAAGGGTGTCCGACTCCCCCAGGGTTCTTGTTTAAAACGTACTCAATACCCCAGACTCTGGGGGATGAGGGTAGGGAATGGAGGGTAGCTTCAGGAATCTATAATTTAACAAGCTCTATAAATGAATTCTTCTGTCCTCTGAAGTTTAAGAACATAATAAATACCAGATGGCTGGGCCGGGCGCGGTGGCTCACGCCTGTAATCCCAGCACTTTGGGAGGCCGAGGCGGGTGGATCACGAGGTCAAGAGATCGAGACCACCCTGGTCAACATGGTGAAACCCCGTCTCTACTAAAAATACAAAAAATCAGCTGGGCATAGTGGCGCGTGCCTGTAGTTCCAGCTACTCAGGAGGCTGAGGCAGGAGAATTGCCTGAACCCAGGAGGCGGAGGTTGCGGTGAGCCGAGATCGCGCCATTGCACTCCAGCCTGGGTAACAAGAGCGAAACTCCATCTAAAAAAAAAAAAAAAAACCAGATGGCCACAAGCTTTTCTTCCTGGCCCTTGCCTTCAGTCAATTGGTGGCTCCTATCTCAGCACCGAGGGTCCCGGGGAGGACCAAAGTAGCTGCCTCTCACCTGTAATCTGGCCAAGATACTGGCTTTCTTGGAGTTGGAGGAGTAGCTCCTGGAGCAGGAGACGCTGCAGAACCTCTTGGTCTTGGAGAAGAAGGCTTCCCTTGTACCCACGATACCACACATCTCACAGACAGCTGGGAAGAGAACTTAGCACATGACTCACCCGCTACAGCCACCTCAAAGCAAACAAAATAATGGGCCCTTCAAAACTTGGGGCACTGCGTTCACCAGGTGAGCCCCTGCACCAACAAAGGCTAATGGAATAAGAGGAGGAATGGGAGGTACTGGTCTGTACGTCTGAATCTACCTGAACGAAGTTGCTGCTGCTTGGCCTCCCTTGACTACATACATCCACAGAGGGCCTAATGGAAACCCCTGAGGACAACTTGGGGTACAGGTGAGTGCTGAAAAGTTTGTGAGAGGAAAGTGAGAAGAGGCCAGGTGTGGTAGCTCCTGTCTGTAATCCCAGCACTCTGGGAGGCCAAGGAGGAAGGGTTGCTTGAGGGCAGGAATTCGAGACCATCATGGGCAACATAGCAAGATCTTGTTGAAAAAAAAAAAAAAAAAAAAAAAAAAAGGCCAGGAGTGATGGCACACGCCTGTTGTCCCGGCTACTTGGGAGGTTAAAGCAGGAGGACTGCTTGAGCCCAGGAGGTTGAGGCTGTAGTGACTGAGAATCGCACAACTGTACCTCTAGCCCAGGCAACACAGTTAAAACAAGTCTCAAAAAATTTATAGGAAGAAAAAGTGCCAAAGTCACGTAACCTCTGTGGCTCTATTTTCTCATCTATATGGTAAGGAGACTGAACTAGATCAGTGTTTTAATCCTGACTTCACTATTAGACCCACCCCGGGAGCTTTTAAAAATGCCCCAGCTGGCCGGGGGCAGTGGCTCATACCTGTAATCCCAGCACTTTGAGAGGCGAGGCGGGTGGATTACCTGAAGTCAGGAGTTTTAGACCAGCCTGGCCAACATGAAACCCCGTCTCTACTAAAAATACAAAAAATTAGCCGGGCATGGTGGTGGACACCTGTAATTTCAGCTACTTAGGAGGCTGAGGCACGAGAATCCCTTAAACCAGTGGGACGGAGGTTGCAGTGAGCCAAGATTGCACCACTGCACTCCAGCCTCGGCAACAAGAGCGAAACTCCAACTCAAAAAAAAAAAAAAGGGCCGGGCGCAGTGGCTCAAGCCTGTAATCCCAGCACTTTGGGAGGCCGAGGCGGGTGGATCACGAGGTCAAGAGATCGAGACCATCCTGGTTAACATGGTAAAACCCCGTCTCTACTAAAAAACTACAAAAAATTAGCTGGGCATGGTGGCGCGTGCCTGTAATCCCAGCTACTCAGGAGGCTGAGGCAGGAGAATTGCCTGAACCCAGGAGACGGAGGTTGCGGTGAGCCAAGATCGCGCCATGGCACTCCAGCCTGGGTAACAAGAGCGAGACTCCGTCTCAAAAAAAAAAAAAAAAAAAAAAAAAAAAAAAAAGCCTACGCCTAAGATATTAATGAATTGGTCTGTGATGGGATACTGGCACCTGTAGTTTGTTAAAAGCTCCCCCGACGATTCTAATATGCAGAAGCCCTGGTCTAAGTGGTCTCTAATGGTTCCTTCTAGTTCTAAATCCTAAGATTCTAAGAGGAGGTTTGGAAGAAGATAGAAGGGGGAAAGATAAAAGGCAAGAGACAAAAATAAGACAAGATGAATAGAAAGGAAATAAGATTCAACTGCAAAGAGTCTTAGATTACTCTTCTAAGGAGTTTGGAGCTGGGTGTGGTGGCTCACTCCTATAATCCTAGCACTTTGGGAGGCCAAGGTGGGTGGATCACTTGAGCTTGGGAGTTCAAGACCATCCTGGGCAACATGGCAAAACCCTGTCTCTACAAAAAAAAATACAAAAATTAGGCATGGTGGCATACGCCTGTAGTCACAGCTACTCAGGAGGCTGAGATGAAAGGACTACCTGAGCCAAGGAGGTCAAGGCTGCAGTGAGCAGCCACTGCACTCCAGCCTAGGTGACAGAGTGAGACCCTGTCTCAAAAAAAAAAGTTTGGGATCCAAGGGATGGCAGTGTCATCAGAAACTAGCCTGCCTCTCTTCACAGGCAGCCCACACACTGGAGGCCCTGATACAGGGGTTCAGTAGCTGTGCAAGCAACAATTGTGAAGACAATTCGCCTCCAGATGATCCACAGGGATTCTCATCTGCCTGCCCTCAACCCAATCCTTCTGCTCAGGGTCACTTTATCGTGTATTACCTCCCCACTCCCACCCTGATTTCCAAGCCACAAGCTATTTGTCCCTTCCTGGAAAGTAACCAAAACTTTAGGTTTCCCATCTTTTCAACATCCAAGTTGGAAATCCATGGCATACTTATACAAATGTAAAAGCAGCACCATGTTACTCACTGGCATCTAATCTGTGGTGAATAAACATTAGTCATATGAAGAATGAATGAAATCACAATTCAAAATTAGACTGCGGCTGGGTGCAGTGGCTCACTCCTTTAATTCCAGCAATTTGGGAGGCTGAGGTCAGTGAGTCACCTGAGGTCAGGAGTTCAAAACCAGCCTGGCCAACATGGTGAAACTCCGACTCTACTAAAAATACAAAAATTAGCCAGGTATGGTGGCAGGTGCCTGTAGTCCTAGCTACTTGGAAGTCTGAGGCATGAGAATTGCCTGAACTCGGGAGGTGGAGATTGCAGTGAGCCAAGATAATGCCTCTGTACTCCATCCTGGGTGACAGAGACTCAGCCACCCCCCCCCCAAAAAAAATTAGACTGCAGCAGAGGAAGTAACATTGTGGCTTCTTGTGCTTCCATCTCCCTTACAGGTCCTTACACATCTGCTCCCCTAGACATCAGAGTAAACAGCCTTTTACAGCTGGATGGCTCTGCCCGTATAGCCTATATCCAGCCCCCTCTTCCTCTATCATCTCCTGACTCTTCTCTATCCTCAGGGGACACTCTGAAGGCACCTGGCTCAGAACCACTGCCATCCAAGGATCGAGGAGTCCCAGGGCTGAGCAAATGCAGGGGAGAGGTTGGCAGTTCCCCTGCTTCCCGATCCTCATTTTCTGCTTCACTTGACTCCTCCAGATAGGAGCTGCTCTCACTGCCCACACTGCTGTTATAACTGCGAAAACTATCATAGCCACCAAACAGCTCCAAGTCATCATCTTCCTCTTCCTCCATTGGTTCTGAAGATGGGGTCTCCTAGTGGAGGATGACACAAACCAGAGAGAATTATGATTGGCTTTAGTGCACGGGGGAGAGGCTGCAGATCTGCTATCACCCCCCTCGAACTTTTGGGAATCTTCCAAATACTCCTTTTATAAACACCAGGAGCATTACTCCTATTCACGCATTTCTCCACCATGACTAAATACAACAGCTTAACAAGACATAAAATATGTGTTAGGAAGTCGCCAGTCTCCTCTGTGGATTTATAAATGATACTTTAACATGGTTCAAACAGAATACTGTATAACAATGTGGGCTGGGTGCGGTGGCTCATGCCTGTAATCCCAGCAATTTGGGAGGCTGAGGAGGGCAGATCACCTGTGGTCAGGAGTTAGAGACCAGCTTGGCCAACATGGTGAAACCCCATCTCTACTAAAAAATACAAAAAAAAATTAGCTGGGCGTGGTGGAGGCTAGGGCGGAGAATCACTTGAACCCAGCAGGAGGAGGTTGCAGTGAATCGAGATTGCACCATTGCACTCCAGCCTGGGCAACAGAGCAAGACTTTGTCTCAAAAAAAAAAAAGAAAAAAAGAAAAATATCCTAAGGTACTTCACAAAGATTTTTCTGGGGTAGAAGACATATATTAGAAATTAATTCTTCTGGGCCAGATGCAGTGGCTGATGTCTAATCCCAGCACTTTGGGAGGCCCAGGTGGGTGGACTGCCTTGAGGTCAGAAGTTTGAGACCAGCCTGGCCAGCATGGTGAAACCCGGTGTCTACTAAAAATACCAAAAATTAGACTGGTATGGTCGCAGGTGCCTGTAATCCCAGCTACTCGGGAAGCTGAGGCAGAAGAATTGCTTGAACCCAGGAGGTGGAGGTTGTAGTGAGCCAAGATGGCACCATTGCACTCCAGCCTGGATAATTGCACTCCAGCCTACACTCCAACAGAGCGAGACTCTGTCTCAAAAAAAAAAAAAAAAATTCTTCCTGTTCAATATACATCAAAATGATCTCAACTCAAGCAATTTAAGTCAGAGAAAAGTTAATTTGGGACCCACAGTGCTCCAAAAAGGATCAGAGAGGTAGATGACACACAGATAACTGTGGCATCTTGGTGTATACCACAGCGCTAGAGTCAGCTCTGATCCTAACTAGCTATGGGGCCTTGGGCAAGTCATTTAACCTCTGTGGGCCTCAATTTTCTCATCTATAAAATAAAAATATTTGACTTATGTGAGATGCAAATGAGATACTGTATATGAATCTACCTAGAATGTAATAGAAAATGTGTGAAGAGGCTGGGTATGGTGGTTCACATCTGTAATCCCAGCACTTTGGGAGGCTGAGGCAGGAGGATTGCTTTAACCAAGGAGTTTGAGAACAGCCCTGGCAACACAACACGACTCCATCTCTACAAAAAAAAAAAAATTAGGTGTGGTGGCACGTGCCTGCAGTCCCACCTCCTTGGAGCTGAGGTGGAAGGATTGCTTGAGCCTGGGAGGTCAAGGCTGTAGTGAGCCATAATCATGCACTACAATCCAGCCTGGGCAAGAGAGTGAGATCTTGTCTCAAAAGAAAGCAGGGTGGTGGTAGCATGCACCTGTAGTTCTAGCTACTCAGGAGGCTGCCCTTGAGCCTGGGAGTTCAAGGCTGCACTGAGTCATGATTTACCATTGTATTCCAGCCTGGACGACAGAGGAAGTCTCTCTTTTTTTTTTTTTTTGAGATGGAGTTTCGTTCTTGTTACCCAGGCTGGAGTGCAATGGCGCGATCTCGGCTCACTGCAACCTCCGTCTCCTGGGTTCAAGCAATTCTCCTGCCTCAGCCTCCCGAGTGGCTGGGACTACAGGTGTGCGCCACCATGCCCAGCTAATTTTTGTATTTTTAGTAGAGACGGGGTTTCACCATGTTGACCAGGATGGTCTCAATCTCTTGACCTCGTGATCCACCCGCCTCGGCCTCCCAAAGTGCTGGGATTACAAGCGTGAGCCACCGCGCCCGGCCAGGAAGTCTCAAAGGAAAAAAAAAAGGCGTGAAGAAAGGTGAAGAGTTGATGGGCGGGGGCAGTGGCTCACGCCTGTAATCCCAGCACGTCGGGAGGCCAAGGTGGGTGGATCATGAGGTCAGGAGATCGAGACCATCCTGGCCATGGTGAAACCCTGTCTCTACTAAAAAATACAAAAAATTAGCCAGGCATGGTGGTGAGCGCCTGTAGACCTAGCTACTCAGGAGGCTGGGGCAGGGAAATCGCTTGAACCCGGGAGATGGAGGTGTAGTGAGCCAAGATCGCATCACTGCACTCCAGTCTGGGTGACAAAGCAAGACTACGTCTCAAAAAAAAAAAAAAAAAAAAAGGTGACAAGTTTGGGCTCTGGCCCAGGGCTCAAATACCATTTCCAGTGCTTACTCGCTGTATGACCTGCAGCAAGTCAATTTTACAGTGCTTCAGTTTCCACATCTGTACAATGAGGATAGTACCACCTATTTCATAGGATTTAGGGGCTGGCCATGGTGGCTCATGCCCCTTTAACCTAGCCTCTATAAACCCAGCACTTTGGGAGGCTGAGACAGGAGGCCAAGACAGGAGGACTGCTTGAGCCTGGAAGTTCAAGACCAGACTGGGCAACATAGGGAGACCCTTGTCTCCACAAAAAATGCAAAAAATTAGCTGGGCATGGTGGTTAGGGAGGCTGAGGTGGGGTGGGAGGATCTCTTGAGCCAAGGAGCTCAAGGCTGCAGTGAGCTACGATTGTACCACTGCACTCCAGCCTCGGTAACAGAGCAACCCTGTCTCAAAAGGATTTGGGGGAGAAGTAAGAGACAGTACTGGCAAAGCACTCAGAATAGTGACTTGCGGCTGGGCGCGTGACTCACGCCTGTAATCCCAGTACTTTGGGAGGCCGAGGCAGACGCATCACAAGGTCAAGAGATGGAGACCATCCTGGCCAATATGGTGAAGCCCCATCTCTCCTAAAAATACAAAAACTAGCTGGGTGTGGTAGCCTGTAATCCCAGCTACTTGGGAGGCTGAGGCAGGAGAATGGCTTGAACACGGGAGGCAGAGACTGCACTCCAGCCTGGGCAACAGAGTGAGACTCTGTTTCAAAGAAGAAAAAAAAAAAAGTCACTTGCACATAGTAAGTGGTCAATAAAGGTTGCCAATTCTTGCTGGTTGAAAGCATAGACTCTGCTGATTTTTTGAATTTTTAGTAGAGACGGGGTTTCACCATGTTGACCAGGATGGTCTCGATCTCTTTACCTCATGATCCACCCGCCTCAGCCTCCCAAAGTGCTGGGATTACAAGCGTGAGCCACTGCGCCCGGCCGAAAGCATAGATTCTGGTTTGCCTGGGATTGAATACTGGTTCTACCTCTTACTGTGTGATTTTGTGCATTTTTTATCTTGCTGCCCTCAGCTTCTTCATGGTTACGAGATAATCTTTCTTTAGAGAATATTTATGAAGACTGAGATAAGATATGTAAAGCCTAGTTCTATTTCCAGCAGTCAATAACAGCTTTCAAAGTGAGACCTGCTATTCTTCTCCACGTTATTATTCTCCTTTACCCTTGCAGAATGTTTGAGCTATTCCACTTTATATTTGCAACTACACATGCAAATATGCTAGAAAGGAAACAATTCAAATATAGGTACCCTTGTCAGGCAGGTTGGCAGAGACCACCTGTAGTCCCAGCTACTTGGGAGGGTGAGGTGTGAAGATTGCTTGAGCCCAAGAGTTCGAGGCTGCCATGTGTTGTCATGCCTGTAAGTAGCCACTGTGCTCCAGCCAGGGCAACATAGGGACACCCCGTCTCTTAAAAAGATAAAGTGCCTAGAAGCCAAATGATTAAAGGATGAGGCCGGGTGCCGTGGCTCACACCTGTAATCCCAGCACTTTGGGAGGCCAAGGTGGGCAGATCACCTGAGGTCAGGAGTTTGAGACCAGTCTGACCAACATGATGAAACTTAGTCTCTACTAAAAATACAAAAATTAGCCAGGTGTGGTGGTGCATCCCTGTAATGTCAGCTACTCGGGAGGCGGAGAGAGGAGAATTGCTTGAACCCAGGAGATGAAGGTTGCAGTGAGCCGATATTGTGCCACTATACTCCAGCCTGGGCGACAAAGCGAGACTCTGTCTCAAAAAAAAAAAAAAAGCGGGGTCCAGATTGCAGTACAGTGGGACTGCATAACAGGCAAAGTTTTGGAGGTGGACCGACTTAGTGCCAACCTCCTTCACTTTCCACCTGGGGTAACTTCCTGGGGCGTCGCACCACCTCTAAGCCTCAGTGGCTTGAACGACAAAGAAGAAAGAGGATTGCTGTGGGTGCACTGGAAGATAATGCACGTGAACGTTACAGACAAGAGTGTTCACTCAATTTTAATCTCCCTTCACTTCCCAGCTCATGTAACAGGCCTCACAAGCCCTAAAGAACACGGCCACGAAGGCCGGGCGCGGTGGCTCAAGCCTATAATCCCAGCACTTTGGGAGGCCGAGGCGGGTGGATCACAAGGTCAAGAGATCGAGACCATCCTGGTCAACAAGGTGAAACCCCGTCTCTACTAAAAATACAAAAATTAGCTGGGCACGGTGGCACGTGCCTGTAGTCCCAGCTACTTGGGAGGCTGAGGCAGGAGAATTGCCTGAACCCGGGAGGCGGAGGCTGCGGTGAGCCGAGATCGAGCCATTGCACTCCAGCCTGGGTAACAAGAGCGAAACTCCGTCTCAAAAAAAAAAAAAAAACACGGCCACGAGACAAAGAGGACAAAGAAGATTCAGGAGCTCTCAGATTCTAAACCTAGTTCCTTTCCCCCAGGCTAGGAACTCCTGTTCCTCCCTGAACGCCTTGCCGAACGTTGGCCCCAGCAGTAAAGGAACAAAAAGTAAAGCCAATCGCCTCTGGCCCTGGCTCACTTTAACTATCTCAGTTTATCCATCCTTCCACCCTCCACCCTCCAGGCGTCGCTAAAAGGCCTCAAGAAGGGTCCACGGAGCGAGGCTCTCGGGGTTCCCTTTCCCAGCCACGCTAAGTCCTCTCCCTCTCACCTCATTACGCAGGGGCTTCTCCATGAGACCTAATTCAGTTTCTCCAAGCGTCACCAAGTGCAGGAAGCCATATTGGCCTCGTCGCTCTCCGTGAGAGAAGTCATTGGCCGCCTCCCTGAGCCGCGGGCCAATCACGCTGCAGGAAGGAGAAAAAGCCGGTTCCGTGCCTGTTCATGCCCTTCCCTCCCTGTGGGCAGGGAAGCCGCGGGCGGTTGTGGGAATTGTAGTTCGCCGTGGGTGTGCAGGGTGGGGCGTTACCGTAGCGACGTAGAAATTAGCGGCGCCGGCCCTGGCTCGCCTCACCCCAACTGTTCCAATTAGGCCAACCTCTTGACTTCACCTCTTTATTCTTCACTAAACGGTTATTGCGCACCTATAATAGTCACTGTTCCAGATTCCAGGAATAACTTTGTACTTTCCCGGGTTAGACATTTAAGGTGCCCTTTTGCTGGGATGCATAGCAGAGGAATTCATTTCCAACTCAGGCAGAAACTGGAATACTCCAGATTTTTAAAAAAAGGAAAGGAGGGCCGGGCGCGGTGGCTCACGCCTGTAATCCCAGCCCTTTGGGAGGCCGAGGCTGGTGGATCACGAGGTCAAGAGATCGAGACCATCCTGGTCAACATGGTGAAACCCCGTCTCTACTAAAACTACAAAAAATTAGCTGGGCATGGTGGCGCGTGCCTGTAATCCCAGCTACTCAGGAGGCTGAGGCAGGAGAATTGCCTGAACCCAGGAGGCGGAGGTTGCGGTGAGCCGAGATCGCGCCATTGCACTCCAGCCTGGGTAACAAGAAAAAAGAAACTGGGATGCGGGTGTGTGTGTGTGTGTGTGTGTGTGTTTTCTTGAGACGATGTCTAGCTCTTTTGTCTAGGCTGGAGTGCAGTGGCGCGAACTCGGCTCACTGCAACCTCCGCCTCCCAGGTTCAAGTGATTCTCCTGCCTCAGCCTCCCGAGTAGCTGGGATTACAGACGCGTGCCACTACTCCCGACTAATTTTGTATTTTTAGTAGAGACGGGGTTTCTCCATGTTGGCCAGGCTGATCTCAAACGCCTGACCTCAGGTGATCTGCCCACCTCAGCCTCGCAAAGTGCTGGGATTACAGGCACTGGCCGCCGCGCGCGGCCAGAAACTGTAATATTCTTTTTTTTTTTCTTTTCTTTTTTTAAATCATTTGTATTATTTTTATTTTGAGACGGAGTCTCGCTGTGATGCCCTGGCTGGAGTGCAGTGGCAGGATCTCAACTCACTGTAACCTCTGCCTCTCGTGTTCAAGTAATTCTCTGCCTCAGCCTCCCAAGTAGCTGGGATTACAGGTGTCTGCCACCACGCCCGACTAATTGTATTTTTTAGTAGAGACAGGGTTTCATCATCTTGGCCAGGCTCTTCTTGAATTCCTGACCTTGTGATCCACCTGCCTCAGCCTCCCAAAGTGCTGGGATTCCAGTTGTGAGCCACCGTGCCCAGCAGAAACTGGAATATTCTTATGCTCAATGCTGTAAATGTCTAGCCTGCTCAAAATCTTGCAACATTCCTCCTTCACCACTCTCTCCTGGGTAAAAACCTCGAATCTGAGGCTCTCTGCCTCATCCCATTAGGGTTTCCCACACCTCCTTACACCCCTTGAGTTCTAGGCACTGTTGTGGAGTTTGCAAACATCTTCTCAAACCCTTACGTATCCTATCACCGTTTGAAAGAAGAGGGACTGGTGGCTCTTCAGGTTTAGACACTTTCCAAGTTCACACAGGATTGGGATTCCAAATTTAGTACAATTTCTTTCCCTACACTATGCTATGTTCCGATGAATTAATTGAGACTGTAAATGCAATATGTAGAGGCTGAATACATATAAAATATATGCCTAAATTTGAGGTCCACCATGGAAATGTGAAACTCGTCCTAGATGTCTGTCTTTCCTTCAACTCCTTCCACCCTAAACCCCTGTATCCATGCTGTACACGTGTTGGTTTTTGGTTTTTTCTTTTTTCAGATGGAGTCTCCTTCTGTCGCCAGGCTGGACTGCAATGGTGCGATCTCAACTCAGTGCAACCTCTGCCTCAAGTGATCCTCCTGCCTCAGCCTCCCTTTCCTTCAACTCCTTCCACCCTAAACCCAGCCCGGCGCACAGCTG